GCATAAAATCACCTTTATGTCAGAGAAATAATTCACTCCACTTTATTCACACTGTCCTGAATGAGAAGCAGAAATGCAAATGCCATCTTTGGTAAAAAAAACAGAGAATGTGTAACATCAAAACACGATGTGTAATGAAAGGTTGTCAGATGGAGTGAACATCAGTGGGGAGGTGGGAAGATGCCCTGAGAAGACATCTGCATCCAGGGATCCTGGCTACATCAGCAGAGGTTGGCTCTCCCAAATTGAAGGTCCCCCAAGAAAAGTTAATACAGTGATCCCTTGTTGGGACCAGGGAGGAAGGGCTGAGTCCAGCTGAGGATGGAAGTGTCTCTGGAGGGGACAAGCACCAACAAGTACTAGGTGAGATGGGGCTGAGTGAGAAATGAAATGCCCACTCCACAGCAAGCAGCCTGTTGGTGAGGAAGAGAACATCCCAGCAAACTGGAAGTCTTGATGGCGTCGCGGAACAAAGCCTAAATATACGCAGAGTTGGGTCTGGATTGGGTCAGAAACAAAACTCTATCTTGTTTGAGCTACTGTGTTTTTGGATCTCCATATTATAGCCATTTAGCTGATGTCCTAACCTCTATTGAAACTGATACCAAAGTATGGTGCTAGATAACAAAAGCAACAACAATAAAAATGTGATACCGTGTATTGTTTTGAGAGCAGGCAGCAAAGAAACTGCCATTTTAGGCCAGAAGCCTAATGAGCTTGGCCAAACCTTGAAAGTATTTGGTAAATTCGTCACACGTAGTAGATTAAAAGGTGGAGTAGTATGCAATTTTTGCCAGAATAAAACAGAAGGTTCTTGCATTTATAAGTGGAGCATAGAAAAAATTGTGGCATGAAACTCTTGGGGAGCTGCTTTTCCTAAGACTTTGCAAGAAAGATATGAATTCAAGCAATAATTGGCCCACTTTCAAGCAGAGATGTAAGGAAATAGAGAGGCCAGAAATTGGGGGCATTGAGCTTATGAAAAGGCCACTGCTTCCATCCACCAACTACAGGAGTTATAAACATTGCTCACCGTCTGCCCAGCCATAGTAAGTCATTTCAGGCAACTAAAGGGGTCCAGGCCTAAGACAAAGAAGTGATTCAGGAGGCTCCCTAACATATTAGATGGTCTCATGGTAGCCAGAAATGAAACATGAGAGAAAGTTTTGGGCTAAACTAAGAAGTCAGATATGCAGGGTAGATTTGAGACCTTTTTCAGAAATGGAGTTTGGGAATGACTACAGACCCATGTAGCTACTGGGAAGTAAATAAACTGGCAGCTTACTAAGTTTTTGAGGAATTGATATTTTTAATGAAACTATTAATATGAGCCTGGTCTGCACACATATATGTACAAAAGTCCTCATATGAATACAGGAAAGAAGAGCTTCCAAAGACCTATAATAACTCAAGCAGGACATGATGCCCAATGCTCACTTTGATATAGCCACAGAGGATAACGAAGAGGAATGTGCCCCCCAAATAGCCAAGCACCTACAGAACTGTGTGGGGCACTGCTATCCAGTGAGACTGCAAGATTGCCATGTGTCTATTCATTACATCTGCTGCTCAGTCTTCCCTATTCAGGATGTATCCTGTTATTGCACTGTCATTTTATGTGGAGGAAGGAAGGAAACTTGGCTTTTAATTTTCGGGTCACCAGATGATGAGGACCTCACGTGAACCTGAAGAGAACTCTGTATCTCCTAGAGACCCTGTATTTAGAGGTGCATGTCCTCGCTGCATGGGACTTTGGGTTGTCTCCCCTGAGAATAGAGTCTGTTGTTTCTATGTACAGAAAGTAATCTATGCACAAATATTTAGGTAGACACAAGATTGGACTTTGGCTGACTTCTGGATTTTCCCCTAATTGTTTCCTCTTTTTGTGCTATGCATAAAGTCACTTTATACTTCATTTCTAGCCTGTAGGTATAGGTGTGGCCTGTGTCTAGTTCTCAGAAACAGAATGTAAATATAATTGTTGCACGAGAAACTTCGAGGTCCTTGTTGGTGCTTGTGCTGGACTTTCTCCTTTCCTGCTTGTTGGCTAAAACCTGTGAAACCTAGAATGACATTGGGAGTTCATATGATGAGAGTAACAGAGTCTCTTGCTCTTCTGTGGCCTTCGATGACTCTGTGGAGCCGAATCTGCTCACCCCCTCTGGACACGGTGAGAGAGAAATTCATTTTCATGTTTTTGACTTACTGTAATATGCTATCTCTTTGTTATATCTATTTAACTTCTATCCTAATAGAGTAATGGTCGGGAAAGATGACAAGAGAGCTAACAGTGTAGGAATTGAAAAATGCGGCCTCCAGAAAGGTATGTTGTTAATTTCTACCTGGCTCTGGTCACCTGCATCCATTCATATCAGTAGGAACAGCCCCAACGGATCCAGCCATCCTTGTGGCTTCAAAATTATCACTGAGATCAGGCTTCTCAGATCCTAGAATCTGAGTAAATTAGTAAAAGGTCCCCTTTTAAAAAAAATTCTCTCTGTTGCTGTGATTCCATCCCATTCGAGAAACAGCCAGTTACGGAGATGAAACCTTGAGCATTCTACAAACGTTTGCTTTTTAACTTCCCTATCGCTTTTGACTAGGGGAGAGAAATTCTGTCATTCTTTTCAGGTTGATTCTCAACACTCTTAGTCAATTAATCAAGGTGAAAATGTTTATTGAATGCTTGCTGTACTGAGACTCTTGGACAAGGCAGTGTAGAGCCTGACACATAATGGGCCTGAGAAGAAGATTCCTGGTGCCAACTCCTCCAGGGTTATTTACACAGACAGTACAAGACACAGCAGTTATCAGTCCCTGACACTTCACCCAGTGGGCCAGGAATGGTCAATAAAGGAGGCATCCATCTAAAGTGACTCTGAAGGCTTCAGGAACCAAGAGCAGCTCTGGGGGATAAAAAGAGTTTTTTATTATGAGAAGAGAGTTGGTTTTCCACAGAGAGGTGATACAGGAAGCAAAGACATGCATTTATCCACTAACTCATTCCCCATGTATATACTGAGCACCCACCATGTCTAGGAATTGTGTTGGGAATTGTGCATACAAGGGATTTTGCCTTCTAGAGGAAGAAAGAGAAAAAAAAATGTGAGCAGACCAAATAATTCTATGCCAGGAAAGAAAATGCCAAGGAGTTACAAATGGCAATGCCAGAAAGAGAGAGAAAGGGAGTTGATTTAAATGGGACACATGAATTCTTCAAGGAAAGGATGCTTCATGTGCAAACTGAAGGATAAAAAGGCAGGAGCCAGGGAGCAAAATGAAGAGGTTTAGAGAATAATTTTCCAGGAAGAAGGAGTGCTGTCTGCTGAGGGCACTGAGCAGGGAAGGACTCAGTATGTTTAGGTAAAAAGGAAGACAGTGCTGGTCGTGGCTGATGGACAATGAAGGAGATGTTGGCATGGGATAAGGCTGAAAAGGAAGGAAGGAAAGAGGGTGCTTCACACAGCATGTTGAGATCCTAGAATCCAGAGATAATATACTTGCATAAGATAACGGTTTGGCTATGAGAAAAATAGCAAAAAGTGAAGTAGAAAAATCACATCAGTGACTTCATGTGGCAGGTAACAGAAATTCTCACGGTGGCCCCGTTTTATAGGACTCTGAGGGTTAAGGGACAATATCCCTTACAATATGACAGTTTTGGGCAGAGTTGAATCTAGAAAGATCATACCCTGAAGGCGGATGGAATGTGGCAAAATATGGGCCAGGAAGCTATTGCAAAAGTCCAATGAAAAGATTAGCATATGGGTGAGGACAAGGGACAGAGTGGTCATCCCAAGACACACTGATAAGGAAGACTCCTTGGGACTTGGTGAGTGACTAGCTAAGAGAGATCAAGAACAAAAATGGTCAGAAATAACTCAAAAAATTTCTATGTGCATCACTGGAAAGTAAATGGTCATAGTGCTTAGAAGCTCTGAAGGCTATCAGCTCAGAGCAGGGGAAAAAATCACGACAAGGAAGGTTTTTTTCCTCTCTTCTTAATTAAGGCTTATTGGAGTAATAGCAGCTTAAGCAAGACCCGTCACGACTGGTCAGTACTGGCCCTTGCCAGTGTTGTCACATGCATTGGCACCAAGTAGCTCCCTTCCATTGTCTGGAGGCAACAAGAAGAGAGACAAGCCAGGTATAGAAATGAGGTGTGCACACCGGTGCACCACACATGACTCAACTGCGTGTTGTCTGAGTGAATTCCAGGAGCCTAAGAGGAACAAAGCATGAATCTATAGTGGGGGAGAAAGGATCCACATGTATCCTTTCATCTAGAAAACATCAACCACTACCGCTGGCGCCATCATCACTATTATCACTGGTAATAGAAGGCCAGAGGAAGTGAGAGTCCAGAACACTGTGGGACGTTGCCCTCTGGACGCACTCACCGCTCTCTCTCTCTCAGCAGACAGCCCTGGCGGCACACCACACCGAGATCCTAACAAGCCTGGGCCACAGCTCAAGGGAGCCCGCCCATTTTTGGCAGCTAGAGTAGACAGTCAGCCTGCAACTGAGCTTCAGGTGCCAAAGCCAGCTGAATGCTGATACAACAAAGGGACATGCCACACAGATGTCAAATCTGGCCTTCTGATAGCCCACCCTGACTGCAGTTAAGTTTTGGCAGCCCCACCTCTCCTGCTAAATTAAATAGAAACAGCAGGGCAGGGCTACCTCGCTTGTTGTCTCCCTACCAATCACGAGGCTAATAAACACTCCACTGGTGTGATCTGCAATCCACCTTCTCTGGCAATCACACATTGCTGAGAACTTCTAACTAAAGGCAATTGAGAGGAGCCAGGTATCAATGCTATACAGCAGCAGTCCTCAACCTCGTTGGCACCACAGACTGTTTTCATGGAAGACAATTTTCCCATGGACCAGGGAGGTGGGGATGGTTTCAGGATGATTCAAGAGCATGACATTTACTATGCACTTTATTTCTATTGTTATAACATTGTAATATATGACGAAGTAATTATACAACTCACCATAGGTCGGGGACCTCTGCTATACAGGCTTCTGAAGACTTTCCAAACACCTGCGAACCACACTGATGCCCTGCAAAGGGATAACCGTGCTGAGTGAAATAAGCCCCTCCGAACAGGACACATCCTGTGGATTCCACACACCCATAGGATTCCACTCCCACGAGGCACTTAAGACGCTCAGATGATGGATGTTGGTGACAGTTGCACAACAATGTGAATGCATTTACTGCCATTGATCTGTACACTTAAGAATGATCAATCTTCCTATATATATGTTGCACAATTTTATAAATAAAATTAAGGAGAAAAAATAAAAATAAATATTCTACTTAAATTATCATCTTCATGTTACATAAATATATGCAAACATAAACTGATTATAAACTCCTTGATCTTTAGCTTTTATAGGGCAATGAAACCAAACCAAACTTGCCAATTAAAAGCAAACAAAACTACGGAATAATAAAATCTAAATTCATGTTAACTTGACATGATGGAAGCTGCTGCTTTGCTGAGACCAAACGGTTGCTCAGAGCATAATTGTGGAACCAGCTACTACAGGCAAGTGTTCTGAATTTGGCATTACCAATTGCAGAGTGGTGTGTACAACCAACTATGAATCACACATGCAATGAAGTTCACCCAAACAACCTGTGTTGAGGTCCTTTGGCATTTACTGGAATAAACACATCACTTATGTATCTAGCCTAGGTAGGGGAGAGCAAAATCTTCCTCTACCCATTCCTATGTCCTACGGCTAGAGCTCTGGACATCAGACTGGCAAAAGACAGATTAACAGTAGAAAAAATAGAAGCTTATTAATATGTACATTGGGTATGTACATATGAAAGCACTCGGAGATAATTAACTCCAAGGGAGGGTTGGAACTTGGGCAGATATACCAAGGAACACAAAGGAAAAGGGGTTTGGAGTTTCCCAGTGGGGAAAAGCAAGTTATGGTAAATAAGGTTTGTTACATAGATTTAAGTCAGTGCCTTCTCCACACAGGCCAATTAGTCAACAAGTCCCAATAAAACTCTGGATACTGAAATTCAAGTGGGATTCCCTGGACTGCAACATTCTGTAAATTTTGTCACACATTGTGGCCAAGGAGGTAACATTATGATGACTCCACAGGGAAAGGAAGACCAGCATCTCTGTGCTTAGATACCTCAGACCCTGCCTTATGTGCATCTTCCTTTGGCTTGTTCTAATTTATATTTTTTACCATAGTTAGTATACTCCTGTTTATAATAGGTTTCAGTGAGTTCTCAAGGACTGTGCCCTTAACTCCAGAGTTTGGGTAACCCAGGTAGGGGTCAAGCTGTTTCAGATTTTAAATACACAATAAAACAACATCTAAAATGAACCCAGTGCATTATGGGTGCATGAAAACACTGCAAACCTAGTGAAATAGAATTGAACCTCTAATAACAGCTTCAAATACTTACGGAAATTTATTATATGATAAAGGTGGTATCTCAAATCGTGGATGAAGATGGACTTCTTAAAACATGGTATGGGGACAAGTGGGTAGGTATTAGGAAAATGATGAATTTAAATCTATACCTCAAACCATAAGTGAGAATAAACTCCAAATGAATCAGGCATATATATATATATATATATATACACACACACACACACACACACATATATATGTGCATACATATCTATATACAACCATATATACTAAAAAAGAAATTAATTCTTCTATAAACAGTGTAGGAAAATGGTTTCTAAATATGACTCAATATAAAATGTAATGAAAAGTCAAAAAACTTAACAGAATTTAAAAAGAAAAAAACTTACAGAGCAAAAAAATAAAAATCAATAGATGAAGTCAGGAAAAAATGGAGTAAAGGAAATCATTTGCAACATAACTGATAAAGGGTTAATATTTTTCACATATTAAAAAGAAACCTTAAAATTAAGGAGAGAAAACACTAGAAAAATAAAAAAAGAACAAATCTCAAATACATGGATTTTTAAAATGAGCAAAACACACGAACTGCATTTAGACACCATTTCTTACTTATCATATTTGTGAAAAGTTTAAAGGTTTGGCAACACATTAAGTTTTAACAGGTGCACTCACATGCATTCCTAGTTGGAATGCATACTGATAGAACTCTTGGGAATGCATCTGGCTGCCTGTGGATATAGGACTATAAATGTGAACACACACACATATATTTCTAGCAATACCATTATTAACAACTATGACTGAAATGCTGAGAGGGCACATGAAGACATTTCGTCCAAGAAACAATGGATGGTTGAGATGGCTGCCATGATAGCTTCCAACCAGGGAACACAGTCAATGACAGAGATGGCTGCCATGATTACCTCCATCCAGGGAAGATAGTCAATGACAGAGATGGCTGCCATGATTACCTCCAACCAGGGAAGACAGTCAATGACAAAGATGGTTGCCATGATTACCTCAGTTGAAGGAAAAGAGTCAATGGCAAGAACACCACAATGATCACCTCCTTCCAGGAAAATCAGTCAATCACTAGGTGACTGACACAATCATCTCTAAGAAAAACCATTGATGACTAATATGACTGGGATGATTGCCTCAATCCAGGGAAGATGGACAAATACCAAGATGGCTTCGTGATGGCCTCCATCCAGGGAAAACAGTGCATGGCTGAGATGGCTGCTAGGATTTTCCCAATCCAGAGAAACTGTCATAACTGCTTTAGTTGAGGGAAAACTGTCTATGGTGAGAACAGCACAATAATAATCTTATTGCAGAAAAATCAGTCAGTGCCAGACACAACCAGCATGATGGCCTCTGCCTAAGGAAAACATTCCATGATTGAGATGTCCACCATGATCACCGTAAGGGAAGAACCATGGTGAGAATCCTGTATCAATGGCCTTATTCCAGGAAACATCCGTCAATGATGGTGATGATCTGACTGACATGCTCACCTGTGTTTAAAGGAAACGACTGATGACCCATAAGACCACTGCAGTGGTCAGTCTAGGGAAAACAGTCAACAACCCAGATGTCAGGACATTGTGGGCTCCATTCAGGGAAGACAAACTTTGACCAAAATGTAACTACATCATGGGGTTGTTAAGGTGTACAATTGGGTAACATATCCAAATCCCTTTGAAGAGTGATTCTTTGCTAAATATTTTGGCACTAAATAATTACAGACAGTTCTGACTCATATATGGCAATATAACATAGGGAAAACATTAGTCAACTTAGGGAAGTTCACAAAACCAGCAAAAGAAACGAAATGTAAAGCTACCTCTTCTATAAATATACATCTGCATACCTAGACAGGTCTGTAACTGAGAATTCCACATTGCTGCATATAAAGTGTTATTGTGAGTTAACTAGTTGTCTTCTCCTCAATTATGACTCAATTGCCATGGAAATGTCTCTACGTTTTAATTACTCATGTCCCGAGCACCTATATTAGCCATAGGGTTGGCTAATGGCTGAAACTGATCTACCAATTTAGCAGTGCTCTAGTAATTAAAGAGGAAAAACCAGGAAAAGTCCAGGAGGGTCAAGTCATACCAATATAGTGGAGACCAAAATAAATAAACAATGGACTAAGCCCTCTACTCACAAGTAGTACTTTAATGTTTCCAACAATCATCGCTCTAAGCAAGAACTGGGTTACTACCTATATCAGTACTTGGAATTTATAAACCACAAGGCAGTTGTGTTTTGTTTAATTGTCACAGAAGATAAATCCCAAATCACCCATTTTTTTAAAGGGTGACTCTTGTAAGATATTCCTCTATTTCTGGCTGGCAGAACTATTGCTTAGGTGTCCCTGGTTTACAAATATATACAACTTGGGTCGGTTGGGATAAGTCATCTACATGCTGTTTGAACAACGAATGATTCTCCATCTGTCAGCTGGTATGTGTATCTCCATCTCAATGACTTGCAACAGACAAGTATAGCAACAACACTGAACTTCATTTCTGCAAGCAAACTAATTATTTTGAATTAATATGTTGGTTTAGAGAGCTGCACTGAGCACTGCATTCCAAGGCAACAGCACCCATTTTTTTGTACTTACTATACTTTAGCGGTGTTATTCAACATTGTTGAACTCTTCTCAACTTTTGTAAGCTAATTCACATCCTCAAATGCATACAGCAAGTCCCCTGAAGAGGAAAAATACTACGTTTCTGCAAAGGTTAAAATTTAATGTCCTTCACAAATGCAAAAGCAGCTGTACCTATTTTGCTTGTAAATCTGGAGAATAAATAGAGATACAAGTTGTATTTTGATATTTAAAGGATAGCTAATTGGATCATTGATATAAAACTTATATTAATTGTCTACATTCACCACTGGGCATAAAAAAATAGGTTACATATGGAAAGTTCTACTAAACAGTCATTTATAAAATATAGAGAAGGCTTGGTTAATTTGGAAAAAAAATGGAAATATTTCAGGGGATACCAAACATAATCTGCTAGATGCTATGTAAGTTTTCATGTTCCAATTAGTCTATATAAGGGTTCTCAACATCGGCAGCATTGATATTTTCCACCAAATAGTTCTTGGTTGTAAGTGTCCTGTGCATAGCAGGATGTTTAGCAGCATCCTTGCCCTCTATACAGTAGGCGCCAGTAGCATGCCTCTATCCAGGAGTGACAACCAAAAATGTCTCCAGACATTGCCAAATGTCTCTCAGGGGTGCAAACTCACTCCCAGATGAGAACTAGTGGCCTACATGAAGAAATAACAGCAGAACAGTCAAAATCAGAACTCAGGTAAACAGTTAGTTAATAGCTCATGAATTTATTCAACTTTTACTGAGCACATTCCATGTGCCAGGCACCGTGCAAAGTAAAGATGGTATAGTAGTGAACAAGATATTTCCTTCCCCTGCCCACAAAAGGCATGCTGTTCACTAGAAAGGGAAAGTCAGTAAATGTTGCAAACCCCTGACGCCACTGCAGAAGGGCTAGGCCAGAATTTGCAGATGTGCTCTTCTTTGGGATTTCATGGGAAGCCACTGAGGACTCTTAACCTGAGGATACCATGACCTGACTAACCTATATTCCAGAAAGCATT